ATGAGTATCGATTGTGTAATGTTTAGTTTATTAAAAAAAATTAGAAAACATTCGATCGAATGAAAAACTTGCAGGGTGTAATACACGGTTGCTTGTAAAACGCGACGATGAAGCATAGCCTCGTGAAAATTCGAAAATTTGGACGGTTGAAAATAGAGAACGCAGATAAACCGTGATTCACGGCTCGCGCTTTCCATAAACTTTTTAATCTTTAAAGTGCTTTATCGGCGAACGAGATAAAGTGTTTTATCGCGTTAGGCGGGACCATTACATTGTCACTAGTTTGTTTTCTATATCCTTGATAAATGTATACGCAGCAATAATAGTTTTTCGTCCGGTCGAACGAAGCAACTGGTTTCACCGGTGTCCCGTTTTGCGGACGAATCGTTCCAAATAGAATGGATTGAAAGGCCATCAATGGCCTCGATTTCAATTATTAACTTCTCTATCCCCGACTTGTCATAAAGTCGCAGGAAAATGTATTTGTTTGTATTTTCGTGCATATTAGATGATCCTCGTTGCAAATATATGACAAAATTCGTATACACGAGACGGAATATTCTAAATTTAAAAAAGAACTTGTTTGCGCTCCGTGACACTCCATTGTGAAGATAATGTTCTCCCAATGCACAATTTCCGGGTCGACTATGAACAGTTTACAGCTTAATCAGATAATTTACGTATACGCTCGAGGCGAAATGTCAGGAGTCGAATCAGACGAAGGAAATGATCTTACAAGTTTCCTCAACTACTTGTCTCTTAGTCTGTAAAAACATCTAATCTCTCTGAAACTCTTCTCATAATATAGCAGTCATTAAATGCAGTAATTAATAGTATATTATACCATGTAACAGTCCTAGAATTCGTGAATTATTGTTAGTCGTCCTCGATTCCACGAAAAGCACCTCGTACAAGATGATATGCCGTAATAAACGTATTTCCTTCATGTGGAAGTTATAACTGCTTTAAGATCCAAGGTTAACGGCTTTTCATTACGCAACCGGCTCGACTACGTGAAACTATCTTCCGGATCTTAGAATTTAGAAGTTATTACTACATGATGAACCTGTCAGCTTTATGCAGCAATTACGTACGATAGATTCGAGGCAATATAAAAGATAGGTAGTAATTAACAGAGACAGAATTCTTTTCAATATATCACCGTTATCGAGAGAAAATAATTTTAAAGAAAAATCTGCATGAAGGGGAGGTCCCACCCTCTCGTATCAGAATATCGTACGAACAAGATATGCTTTTATGTCGTGGATAGACTGTACTGTATGCACTAAATTTTTCAAGATTTTCTGAACGTTCACAATATCTTCTTTATTGAAATTTTACTTTCAACGCTGAAAACGCAAAAGGCATTTGCTCTTTTCTTTTTGATTGTTTACCCAACGCGTTCTTGCCAATGGAATATAAGCATTCTCTCTTTTTCTTCTGCATCACAATTTTCTTATTTTTTATTATACATACATAGTAATTCCCTAAATTATTATTTATGAAAATGTAGTTGAGAGTACTGTTTAAACGACGCCCGATAGCATCGGCGACTATTCGTTCGGTGAAACGATGCAACTGGTTTCAACGGTGTCCCATTTTGCGAATCGAACGGAACGGACTGCCCCTGAAGTCCCCGACTTCCAATATTAACTGCGATCAACCGGCAGCGCAAACAAACGGCCATGATCTACACGCGGCGAGGGTTCGAAGCAGACGAAGGAAATAACCTTCGTCGAACCCGTTGTTTCGTCAGTCGCTTTCGTCTTTTCCCGTCTCCGATAACGGTCGTATTTGCCATGAGCTTCCGTCCAGGAAGAAATTGCTCGTCTTTATCGGCCGTGCTACCCGGAATGCGAGAAATGTTATTTCCGCTGGCTGGCTTGACAGGGTCGTCTTCATTCGTCGATTTCGCGTTACGTTTCAGAGCGACGATAACTTTACGCCGGAAGAATCCTGACCTCCGATTCTCAATTGCCCTTTCGAGGCTTGACTGCTGATCGGTGCGTTTTATCGCACTCGTATAACCGGCAATCGACGACGAATTTCAGTCCAGGGACGAGGAAAAAATTCTTTTCAAACACGGATAGAAATTTCGTGCAACGAACGATTATTTGTCCGTTTACGTATTAAACAGACAGGTCGTCGGAACGAGGTCTCGCTTTCGAGGTAATCAATTTTGAAAGTTCGAGAAGTACGTCATTCATTTAGTTCTATTTGTGTTAACGTTTGTAAATATTTACGGCGGTATGGTACCGGCTGTTTCTCGTTGATGTTAAGACCTTCTAACTATGAGTTTCTATCAAATTATCGCAAATGGGGAGGTACACCATCGGGGAGTATACTGATATGTTGCTTGCGCTAGAAGCTTGCGGCAACCATGTTTCTGTTACAACTAAGTACGTACCGTGTAATTATCGAACTATTAGATGCTGATCGATTTTTACAAAATCCATTCGAGATTTCGTGGCTTCGAGGTCAAATACTTTCGACTTTGAATGTTAAATTCAATTATAGTTGAAAGTACCTGTGCGCTGGTTTTGGAAAAGTCTCCGAATCGGTTCTACAAAACGTAATAAATTGATCTGAGACTCTAGTGGTCTCCATCCACCGTGAAATAGTCCCTTTGAGAGTCGGCGAAACGGTCTCAGTGATTTTAACATTATTGAAACCTCTTCTTCTTTATACCGTTCAGCGCCATCTTCTTAAATTTTCTCAGCTGTGCGAAATTTCTTCTCTTTGAACTTCGCTTTCCTTCTAGAGGAGATGAAAATGTCAAGGATGGTTAGATCGGTAGAAAAGGAAGGGTTTTCTACCTTAGAACGTGGACGAAACTCAAAGGGCGGATATTTGGCATAGTTGAAGAGATCCAGGGAGAGACGTACATTCTACCAAACGACAGAAACGAGGAGGACTATCGGACGTTCCAAGGATTGTAGAATTGCTGAGTCACTCGTACGAACTTCCGATTGGTGTTTGAGAGAGAGATCATGACCACTAAAATCTCAGTCGATCACTTTTATAGAGCCGATCAGGAAACTTTTTGATATCGAGTTCCCAGTCGGCCAGCAGATCACACAGTATTTCGAGCGCGGATGTTCGTTACGGGGAAATATATCAAAACTATTGACAGTCATTAAAAAAGCATCGTTAGTTTTCGATAACGAGAAGTTTTGCTTCGAGGCGTGTCCCGCGGCTGGGGATTGGATCAAAATGATTAAAAAATCGATCGATTGTTAAAAATACACCGCAGTCAAAAGAATCGAGGCACAACGAAACGAAGAATTTATTTGCCTATGCATTAATAGAAATCTAATATTTTAAATTCTATTCGAGTCGAAGAACGCTATAATGTATTTCACGTTTAAAATTCATTTTTATTGTGGAAATTTCAAACTTTTCTACCGTGCAGTTTTTAATCTTTGCACTCTACGTTTATTCGTCTTTTATGCTGTCATGGTGGAAATTCTTCCATTATGCTCGAGTCTTTTTCAGAGATTGATGGCATTACCATTTGGCTTTTTTTTGGAAAAGATCCCCGTATTTATCGGCTCGTTTGCTGTTTTCTCATCGGCCAAATTCAACGTAGCCGATCTTTGGAGAGCTTTCGTGGAAGAAAATTTCAGGAACGTTGACTGAGAAATTGCGTTTCTTCTCGGTGTGTAGCTCGGTTTGTGCGGTTTTTCGCGCTCTCTGATGGTAAATCCTTACGAAACCGTATTTTCGGTACATGTTCCTGGAACGGTCCGTGCCAGGAAATATATCTGGTCTCGGATCTGGGATACAACTCGTGCCAGTGGAAGATTTAAAGAGGACAGACATGAATGAGGAAATAGCGGCACCGGGGAAACAAGCTTCAGACGCGAGCGGGACGCGCTGATAGAGCGTGAAACGATCTTTGAATAAATAATGATCGGAACAAATCGAATTGTACTCTTATCTATAGTTAATTCTTGTCCCGTGGGAGGACCTTTGGGTCTCGGAAGATTTCAATTCGCGTGCCCGGGCACGACAGTTTACGACGAAGCTCGTAGTATCGTCGCTCGACGAAAAGAAGAGAAAATTATTATTCGTAATTATTTTCCTTCGGAATTAATAAGCCCTGAGCCCTACTGTTGTTTCGCGTTGAAGTCTCCCGTCGCCACGAATCTCTCTCCTAGGGATTAACAAAAGTTAAATTATCCTTTTGAATAGAATGTCGCTGTGGACAGTGTACGGCTTTTATAACCAGCCAGTCATTTGCGTTTTTAATTTTAATATTCGTTGCTTGGAGGTAATCCTCCTCGCATTTATCTCTTTCAAAATATGAAAGCTTTTCATTAACTGTTACTGCAATACTCTTGCGAGCAGTTCCATTTAGACGTTGTGCATGCCATATTTTATATTTACCCTTATAATAATAATTTCTATTCGTACAATGGATTATTTTTATATCCAAAGTGTGTCTACCTTGTATCAGCTAGATATTTCTACTTTTGATCGTATAACTATAGTATTTTGTTTAAAAGATGTATCGAACTTCTCGCTGTGTTTACATTTTAACAGAGCTTGCTATAATGTCATAAAACTTCCATGGTTCGGCAAGCATCTCAGCGTCCCTTTGAACGTCAATTTTGTTCACCGCCCGCGGGAAGAGCTTACGTTTGCAAAGTATTGTCTATAGTTGTTTGAGAATATCTTACAAAAATGTGACTCGAGAAACAGGAGGTAGATCAGGACTGTAACAACAGTCGAGGTTTTGGTCGGATGAAATTTTGTCCATGCAAAAGAATGCTATTCCGTTTCGCTTTATTTCCCTTTCCAATTATTCAATAGCGGCGATCGAAGGTCTGACTAGATCTGGGTTAGGTCGGATCGCGTGAAAAATAAAAGGTAAGCAGATTTGAAACTACGATCGAGCCCGCGATCATAGATCACGACGCTCGTATCTTTCACGGGCGGGGGTGGTTCAATCTCTGCGTTGGGGATCTACTGACGTCTTTGTTTCCTTTCTTCCTTAGGTTTTCACACGTACACGCTGAACGAAACGACACACACGGAGAGGGAGGACGACGAGATCCTAACAGTGAGATACGAGGACGGCAGGTGGTCGAAACCCTACTACGATTGCGGCGGAGGAAATATCTGGATGCTGACCTACACCGTCCCTTTCTTCGGATACGTCAACGACACATACTTCTTCAAGTAAGTGAGCTGCCCCCGGAATTGGCTTCGCTTACTTGTCTCTGAATTTCCGAGAAATATTCGCCAAGCGTCCGATACCAGTTTCGATGAAAGGACGACGTCACTATCTCGTAGCAACCATTTTGGTACCCGATTCCGCCTTGATATTCTTGGATCCACTGTACCAAAGGGTTTCTAAGATCGTGACGCGATGAAACTTGGTCCTTTTGTTGCTTTAATTGTCCACGATAGTAAAAAGAAACGAACTTTTACGCGACTCTTCTGTATTCGAATACTTGGGAAAAGAATTTATTCATCGATAGATATTAGTATATCGAAACATTCCATTTCTATCGATCGTATGTGGTGAATCGTACATGCGATACGGGAGTTCAAAAGGCTAGAATTCTATCTGGCATGTTCAAGAAACGCGCTCGCAACGTTTTCTGATTTTCCGGCCGATAGGTCGAGTAAACGAATTCTTTCATACATATCAAACGTTCATGGTCGAAAATACGAGGAAAAAATTCGTTCGTTAAAAATATTTATGTCGCAAGCGACTAGCTGAATTTTCGGAAATAGCTGGAAACCGTCGCTGAAACTTTGACAATATCGTGGAAACAATTTGCACCGGCGCGTATAGTTTCGTAGGTCGTTATCGACGTTTTCCTTCTTTTGCTTGAAACACAAAACGATGGACGTCTGGAAAGTAAGACCATTAATTTGTGTAATGGAGACTCCGTTATATCGCACTTTGGTTTTAATTTTTGCGAGGAATAAAACGTCGACGCCAATTGGGAATTAAAACTTTATAGAAACGAGGGTGTTGTTTTACGAAAATTGTACTTCGGTCTAATTGCGTACCGGAGAATTTATGAACAATTTTCTATTGTTTATGATTCGATGTATGGGTAGTTGTTAGATGCGAGAATAACCTTAGCGTGAAAATAATAGACCATTATTTTCATGCCTTTAAATCAATTGAACTCCGTACTGTGCCAGGACCACGTGGAGTTACCCTGTTCTTAATAATTTGAAATATTTATTGCTCGTTCCCGGGCGAAAGTAATTTTCCGCATTCCTCCAGGGAATTGAATTCGATAAAGGTAAATCAACTACCTTATTTGATTTAGCCTATTCGGTTCAACAATATATGAAATATCATTACTACATTCAGTTACGTGGTTTCCAACTAATAGGAGGGCAGAAAAGAAATTAATATTAAATTTGACCAGCGAGTTCCACGATTAAAAGTAACGAAAACGTTTTGTAAAATAAATTCAAAGCAGTTTCAATGAAAAATTATCATAAAATTCGATATTTACATTAATATATGTGAATAGGTCAGGAATGTCGGTGGTCGAGCTTTTTTTAAAAGGGTTTGAATGAAATTTTTGTCGATGTCAAGGTTTCATTGACGTCTCACGCGTTACGATTTTACAGCACATCCACGGTATGTCTACATATATGTACGTGTTTTATCACATCACCGCGGGCCCGCCATCAATCAATAGAAACATGTCGAAGGAATATGCGCATAGAAAATGACGGTATTCATTTCCATTTACTGCTTGAGATTAAATTGGTTTCCTGACTGATGGAAATTCGGGTACCCGTTTGTAGGGGTAGCTTTGAGTTGCTTTGAAACGATTTGATCGTATAACGTCGTACAGAATCGATGAATCTTGGAAATTTGAAACGTTAACCAATAGTTTAATTACTTTTAGGGAATGGAAATTGTTTTCCATATTCAAGCAAGTTGGATTGGCTGGTATTGTGAATAAGGGTAAATTTAGTGGAAGAAAAATTATTTCAACGGTGTTTTCGACGTTTTGGCCTCGAAGCATTTCCTTTTAAAAAGTGTCAACCTTTTCGAAAATAAATTTTAACAAAGGGTGTATATAACAATTGTGACAAAAATAGTATTTCCAGAAAATTGAAGGAGAGAAGTAATATATTTATTAAATGTATCTGACATATCTTAAATGAACAAATTTTATTTTTTGGAAATAAGTTTGCTAAAAGCATGCAACGAGTGCATCTTGTGCCCGTCGCTAGATACCTGTTATACTCTGGAAGGAATTCCTTGGGCCAAATAGTGGTTCGGAAGAACGCAGTCTTCGAGTTATGAGAAATAGCCAATCGTTTCATAGATCACGACTTCCGTATCATTACCCTGACTATGTGAAAGATTTACAAGCTTTTGTCAGCAGTTTATGATTTAGATAACTCGACTAAAGGCCATCTAGTTTTTCTTATAATATAACATCAATTTTAAATATATTTCTGACAATTTAATGGAATAGATTCCTATGCAGATTTAAATAATGAAATATAGTTAAAGGAACACGATTTAACCCATATACAAAGATTTACGCGATCTGTATCGAACAGTCTGTCAATCCTTTCAAGCATTTTCCTGGAAATTTTCACTTGGAGCGGTATTTTTCATTTTTAACAGTTCCACGAATGGACTTTTAGAAAGCGTCCTGCTCAACATCGTTCGTTTCAATCAATAAGTAGTCGATCTTACAATAATTGCCATTGGTAATTATCACCAAAGGTCGGTGAATGTCTAGTAAAATATCGTAACGAACACATCATCGGTTCTCATTTTGTTAATGGTGCCGTTGCAGGCTTCGTTTCAGAAAGTTTCCAGAACAAAAACTGCCGGAACTTTCAGGGAATGTCGATTTTATAACTTTGCAAAAACCGTGGTTTCAACAGAACGGACCGTCGGAATTATGATTCCGATCGTAGAGTCCGGAATATCCTGAACCAAATGTTTACAGAATGCTGGTTCGCAAGAAGCGGCCATACCTAAATTACTCGACGGCCATGTTGGAACGCTTTCAACACTAAAAAGTATTAAACAACATTTCCGTTGAGCGTCGACTATATTTATTAAAAATCATACCCAATTTTTAAGAAAAATGGACAAGGGGTAGGTTTAAATTTTTCGTCGAAATTAAACAATTTCAAATCGTCCTAAAAAAATTATTTCTAGTTGCGGGAGTCAATTACAATCATTTTTGGTGAATAGACACACTCCCGAAATCCTACGCATTTTCGAGAAAAAAATTCAGGAAGGTGGGCGAATTTTTCGGCGAAATTAAAGAATTTTAAATCGATATGAGAAAATTATTTTTAGTTGTGGGGGTTGATTACAATCATTTTTGGCGAATGGACATACCCTCGAAATCCTACGCATTTTCGAGAAAAAAATTCAGGAAGGTGGGCGAATTTTTCGACGAAATTAAAGAATTTTAAATCGTTCTGAGAAAATTATTTTTAGTTGTGGGGGTTGATTATAATCATTTTTGGCGAATGGACATACCCTCGAATTCCTATGCATTATCGAGAAAAAAATTCAGGAAGGTGGGCGAATTTTGCGACGAAATTAAAGAATTTCAAATCGTTCTGAAAAAATTATATTTGGTTGCAGGGGTCGATTTCAATCATTTTTGGTAAATAGACATATCATCGAAATCCTAGCGTTTTTCGAGAACAAAATTCATTACCGAAAATATAATGTATGGCTAGAAATGTCCTCCCGAAATTTCATGACGGATAATTGGAATTTTACTGTAAATAAAACTGATAGTGTTTTTTCCATAATTGAGCCATTGTTAGAAGCGGTAAGGCTCCCTCTTTAATATGGTTTTCGATTTATGTCGATCCGACTTTCCATTTTTGGAAATATCGTAATTTATGTAAAGGTGTAATTGTTCAATTTTCACCATCTCTGTCTCCGTCTTACGCGTCGGATTTCTCTGTCGGATTTACCATTTACTACGAGCACGTGTGGTCAACGATCTTGCTGAGACCGTAATGAAAGTTCATTGACCTCGCGGTGTCAATAATGAAACGTAAACAAACGCTTCGAACCTTTATATCTCCGGAACTAATTACTCTATCGCCTTGAATGAACTCTCGTTTTAAAGGGCTCTTCAGTTTCTATCCAAGGAATATATCAACTATCATTATTTATGCTGTCCCCCATATTTATTTTGAAATCTTCTTTGTCTCTATACGCCCAAAGAAGTTTCGGGAATTTCTATTGATTTATGTGCGATAACTCTGAATTATAAATTGTCTATTTAATTGAAAATGAATTTAAATTTGTTTTCAAGATGTTTGCGTAATTACTAGCCAGCATTAGTTTGTAAATAATTGTTTTCTCTGGAACTAACTGCGGTATCGGTAGGTTTAGTGTTAATTTGCACAAATTCAGAAGAAAATGTTGGAAATTACTTTCGTATTGTCCGAAGAAACGTGAATATTTTGTTTGGTAATTAATTCTAAGTAGAATCTTCCTTGTAAAGTGGTTATTCGAAGGCTTCGATCGGGTGTCAGCGTCGGACATGGTTCGATTCGAACGCTTCCCAGCGCCGGGTTTTAAATTTACCTGTCGCTACATACATGCCGTCGCAGAGTTGATACGGTAAAATGAAGGAGCAACCCTCTTCGCTGGTTCGTCGGCAGATTCGAGAATTCGGTTTGTTAAGCTCCCAGACCGGTGGTATTTCAACCTCGCGTGACTTCCGGGCTTGAGCAGGGTTGATTGAAACGTGAGTGTGTCGGCTGCGGTTACGTTTCGTGTGTACCGCTTTATTCCCTCCGCGTCCGCATAACATCCGCCTACGCAAATTCCTAAATAACTGAGGATGTGAACGAAGTTCGTCCTTGTTCGTCCTGGTGGCCGTAGAAATCTATTTTTCACGGTGTAGGGTGTTTCGTAAACCCGAGGAACCCACGCGATCTTCGAATTGCTTGCCACTTCGTCTTCGTCGAAACCCTAACTTTAACGTTTAATAGACGCTTCAAGAACTTGTTATTCGATATTGTTTCGCTGGTAATTGGTAAACGGAGATGGTACGTAAATGAGAATAAGTGTTACAGTCGAGAAGGTATGTTTCAACATAGAAAAGACGAATCGAAGGTTGGTGTTTAGACAAAACGCCAACGAGTTTTATCGAGTTACGCAAAAGGTGGCAGCTCGATGCATTTTTGAGCTTCAATTCGTCGTACGGTGTTAACCGTTTACAAACACCAACGGATCCTGACGTTCGCGACGACGCGAAATGTACTCGTCGTAGTTGCCTCTTTTCGGTTTTCATTCTATACTCGATACTGTAATTGCTGCACCACGGAAGTGGTCTCGTTTTGCGAAAGTCACGTTCGAGGCAAAAGCTCGATGGAAGCGAGACAGGGGACGGGGAAGTTCAGAGTGAAGGACCATTCAGTTTAGGGGTGATACACAAAGCTAAAACGTTATTGGGAGGTGATAAAATAGGTATTTGCCAGCATCCATGGTTCTGCTATTATCAGAAAAGCTTTTGCCGTTTATTCCGTGAAAAATTAGAGGAACATATGTTTAAGAGTCGGGGGAATTTTTAAATTAAGGTTTGTAAATTTATTAATTTCTAGCTCTGTCGATATTTCATATTTCCCATCGAATTCTAGACAGTTAAAAATTTTGTTTCGCTCACTTTTATCAGAAAATTGACAATCATTGGGTTCAACATCCTATTTCTATCTTTGTCGCATCGATCATCCAGCGGTGTCCATTTTCCACGCAATAAAACTCGTCAGCGACGAAACGTCGGAACCTGTGACACTTTCTAAATAAATAAAAACCGTGCACATTCTCTCTAAAGTCCCTGGTATTTCGTGCTGAATTATCGCGAACGCATAAAGAAGAGCTGAAGTTTGGATGGGAGATCCGCGACAAAAAAAAAAAAACACACTGAGTTTGAGAAACACTGACTTAAAGTATCTCGGACCGACGAGTGGCGAGCCGTTAATCTCGTCCCTTCCGGCCCAACGTGAGCAGTTAAAGATGGTTATGAAAATTTTATCACCGAATGTAACAAGCGTCGCGCGTGTTCCGTTATTTTATGAGAAAAACGATCGAACGAAAAATCTGCATTGTAAATCGGGAGTTTAATAATTCCAGCCGGCGCGGCGGTTCGGTAATAAGATTTTACGCCGATATTTCCGACGCCGACATTCATGGCGATGCAGCCCTGGAGAGATTCTCGCAGAATGTGGCTAAACATGTCTTGGCAAGCGGCCAGTTTTGTTGCACCTCTCGCAGCTCACTTATAATCGCCGTCACTTATAATCTGTTGGTTTTATTCGTCGCGATAACTGGCGATGACGTTGCATCCAAATCAACAACCGTCTAAAACGGAAGAAGCTGTCTTTTCGAGCATACACACATTTTTTAACTGCACGTATTTTATTAATCGAGCGATTTTTAAGGAATTTCAAATACTCGTATGCTCTTTAAAGTCGTAATTTGTTTCAGAATGTTTCGCGTTTGGTAGCGTATTGCGAAGCGCGGGAAAACTAGAATATGTATCTTCGGCTGTCATCGGCGTCGTCGTTAATTAGAGGATTCAATTGTTCGACATCGAAAATTTTGCTTAATGGCTCTAGAGAGCTTATCATTTTTGCGACGTGCAGAACATGCGACTGGCAATAAATTATCGCAGCTACGGGCGAACAATGCCCAACAGTACGGCCATCATTTGCGTATTAACGGAAGTAACAGTCGATAATCGAATTTTGGTACATAATCTGCGTAACGTTTATAAGTTTTGCTCTCGATATGCCGCGATTTAACGCGCAATTTAAATTACTTTCTGATATTAAAATTCAATAACAATATAGTTTTGAAGGTATAAAAACTATAATCTATTAAAATATCTATTAATAAAAAATCTATTTATTTAGCGCCTGAAACAATATCAGACCGGCTAGGGAAAAAGTAGGTGTTTATATTAATGCACAACACGTTAATACGTGATACGTATCTATAGAGAAGTGTTTATTGTACCTTTAATTAATTTTATTTATTCGGGTACGTATGGTATATAAATTTGCAAAGATTTATTGGGGGTAGAAATCGACCAGTTGTATCGAAACGGTGGTCAGGTATGAATCTTTGGCGTATCAGCCGCGTAAAAAATGATAGGTGATATTTCTACCTGATACTAATCAATTGTAATTAATCACCGAGCCGATAGCGAGTCGTTAGGTTCCATACACGGATCGCGTCGCTAAATTAAAATATCTGATGGCGAATTTAACGTTGATTTATAGCGATTTTTACAATCGTATCGGCTGACGGTATGTTATTTAATCGATATGCGCCGTGTATGCGGACATTTCGTTTGCAAACGCGGCTAGCATGATTTATTTAATTGTCATCTCGCAGATGCGTCGCGGAAACGTGATTTGTACGGAAATATTAAACAGTCGCAGAATTCACGATTGAGTTACGGGCAGAAAAAATGTGGTATAATTGGTCCATTTCCGATATTTTGTTAAACCGCTGAAAGCAAATCGAAAATGTTTTTGATCGACTATCGTACTGTGTTTATTAAATAATTCAAAAGTTAAATGGTTTTAAATGTTACTTCGAAGACGATAACGTTTAACTTTGATAGAGTTAAGTTCGTACTTCGAGTTTTCTATTTTTGTCCATTGATCGAAATACTATGCGGCGATTCGTGTAAGGCAACCGTTTCCCGTTATATCACTTATTGCATCAGTTGTCCAAAGAATAAAAGAAATTCTCCGAACACTCGAGAGCAGATGCAGTCTTTGCAAGCAGCCATTTATAATATTATAACCATTATTCAGCAGACGATAGACGTAATCGTTATCGATGATCAGCCAAGCTTGTGCGGGAGTATGTTGAAATCGATCTAAGCTAATCTGCGGAAGTAATTAAGCGTTCGATCGTTGAGTTTTGTCTCTTGGAAGAATTTACTTGGCAATTTTATCGGAATTTGTTCGTATATTGGTACATCAAAAGTTACCTAATTTCACGAGGAAGAGAACACCTAGCTGCTAAGATCAGCCGATCTTCGTTAGACTTTTTCCTCGGGAGTATAAAAAAAACTAAGTTTATATTAATAAACACGATTAATGAGCTAAAAAATAATGCGGTGGAAAGTGTCTCGAATAGTTTGTTCTTAATTTGAGTAGCCCTATACACTGTTACCTAACGTCGCAAGGCTTCGTAACGTGACATAACTGATATTCGTCGGTTGGCAATTATATATGCAATCTTTACCCGTCGACATAATTATAGCAAGAATTTTGCATACAATAGAATTAGAAGACTGCGTATAAACCCGTCATCTTGCCCCCACGATGCAACTTCTGAGAAAATAGGATAGTGTGTTTATAAAGCTGACTTCATCTCTTGATGATTTAAGGAAAGATACCTAGCGACTCGAGATCAGTCAGGTTCTGGATCGTAGCTTGTTAGCAGAGGAATATCCAGGATGAAGCGTTTGTTTCTGGTAATCTTTCTACTGTCGATGTTAGGGTATTGTCTATCGTCACACCTGCAGCCGATGCCTAGTCTGTGCCAGCCTAACGTCCAATCTTCGATAATAAATACTCCGCTGAGACCGTGCCCTGAAGGCCAAAAACCAGATTCTAACGAGATTTGTAGAACTGTTATCAGCTAAACGTGATGCCTTGATCAGGTGGGTGGAAACCATTGTTGATATTCGTTTCATTCATATGTATAAGTTATCGTCTGGAAGTTTACTCAGAATCAGGGTCTCTATACCGATATACAGGATAATATACTCCTTAGGATAAAGGATCTGTCTAGAAGGTACACTCTAAATTTCACAGTTTCTCTATCGTTGCCTGTTATTTTCATTTCATTTTAAGATCAGAAAGAAAAGGTATAATTCGTACTAAATTCATCTGATAATTATAATTAATTTCTATCGTCGAAGAAGAATATTTCCATAAATCTCATTCTCGTTCGAGAACTTAGGATGATTGAAAATTTGGATAACAATGGTTTATGTAATGGCAGTTTCAGTATACAGGGTGTTCGGCCACCTCTAGCAAAAATTTTAATGAGCGATAGTAGAGGCCAAAATAAGACGAAAATCAAGAATACTAATTTGTTGGTGGAAGCTTCGTTAAAAAGTTATTAACGTTTAAAGTGCCGCTCTTACTGAATTTTTTTCTCGAAAATGCGCAAGATTTCGGGGGTATGTCTATTCACCAAAAATGACTGTAATTGAACCCTACAACCGAAAATAATTTTTCCACAACGATTTGCAATTTTTTAATTTTCTCGAATAATTTCACACCTTCTCTATTTTTTTTCTCGAAAGTGGGCAGGATTTCGTGGGTATGTCTAATGACAAAAACTGATTATAATTGACCCCCGCAACCGAAAATAATTTTTCCACAACGATTTGCAATTTTTTTTCTCCGTTGAAAAATTTAGGCACCTAATTGGATTTTCAGTAAGGAATTTTTTTCTCGAAAGTGCGTACGATTTCGGAGGTATGTGTAATGATAAAAAATGATTGTAATTGATCCCCGCAACCGAAAATAATTTTTTTAAAACGATTTGAAAAATTTTTTTTCGCCGAAAAATTTCAGCACCTACTCGATTTTTTTTCTCCAAAGTAGATAGGATTTCGGAGGTATGTGTACTCACCAAAAATGATTGTAGTTGACCCCCGCAACCGAAAATAATTTTTCCAGAACGATTTGAAATTTTTGAATTTAATTGTTAATAACTTTTTAACGAAGCTTCCATCAACAAATTAGTATTCTTGATTTTCGTCTTATTTTGGCCTCTACTATCGCTCATTAAAATTTTTGCTAGAGGTGGCCGAACACCCTGTATACGTATCAGTCCCGTTTGAGAAATATCACACGTCGCTTTCAAAGTATAAAATCTACTTTTAAACATTTACGTATCCGATTATATCTCCTTTGTAAGAGATAAGAACACTCCTCGAGTTATGAAAAAGATCCGTTTCAGAACTCCTTGCATAAGTCGAATTTTACGTAACTTGAGAATGAGTAATATTATATTTCTGACACCAAAGTTATTGAAAACTATATAATATCGTAAAAAAGAAAATAATGGTATATTATAGAAATTAAAAGTTGTTCGAACGACAAACAAACAAAAATTTTAACGTGGAAAAAATATATTCTATTGTCTCGTAAAAGCTGATTTGTATTTTTTCAAGGAGATATAATTCACAGTAGAAAATCCTCGATCTTCGTCTTTCTCACACTTTTTTCTTTATTTTCGAGGTACAGAATCTTGAACTTCTCTTTCTATTTCCAAGAAACATTCAGGGTTTTCATCTACACTCCATCTGCTATTTTCTTTAATTTGAATTTGTTGTTGTTTTAATTGTTCTTGAGTGTTTAATGCAGGTTGAATAACAAAAGCAATCGTGGTCTTTTTCTAATAATTTGTCGCGTGTGTACATGAACATATTCTTCTGATTTCAGGCGATAAACAAATCAACAAAACCTGGAAACCATGGGACTCTGTGTTAATAATAAACAAAGATAGATAACAAAAATAAATGTTAACTCAAATGAATCTAAAATCTAGAAATTGGAAATAAGAAATTACTACTTTAAATAACATTTCAGCCTTTTATTGCTCACCGCGTTATCAAAGATTTTTCTTTATTTGAAATAATAAATAAACTATGCACGATGTCACACACCAATATAAGTAAACTAATTACTTAACGATTAAACTTTCTTGGATCCATCGTCAATGACTGCTCTCCATTTGCCATGCTTGTCTTGCATATATCGAGTCTCATTTTTCTCGCATGCTATATTGATTCCTCCGATGATTTGTCTTTTGAATCGTCTTTGGACATTATCCTTGGGTTTATTACAGCTTTCTGGATCCACGTTCACCGCGTTGTTCGTCGACCCGTTAAAATCTAATATCTCTTCCGCCATTATATTTGTAATTTGCTATTCTTTTGTTATCTTGTTTTAGCAAATAAGTAAATCTTCGGTTTTAATCTCGGTATATTTGCACTGGTCGGTCGAAGCTCTTATCGTCTTCGTCTTTTTGCTATTGTTTGCTCTGTTTCGAGTACTTTGGTTAACCTTTTGATCTACTTTCCCGTTTCCTTCCCCCGGCGTTAGAACCGATTTTTCTTTCGCGTCGCTCTGAAATATGGAGATCGAATCGTTTTAACGTTCCAAGCAATTAATCACTCATTTGACATTCTTTGAGCGAGCAATGTACAAGCATGTCTTAAATACAAAATGTCAAAATGCCCTGGACTCATTATTGAAAAAACCTGTTCCTGAAATTTTTTATTTTACAATTTCTACCCCGCTAAAAACTGATTAACTTTTGTTGAGAAATCGTGACGGTACTTAAATGACACACCCAGAATAGTCAAATACAAGTCTTATCGCTTTTAGCTTAAGAATATCCCAGTGATTACTGATTTCGAAACTCATTTGTCTTAATAGTTTCTTACTTAACCCCGATACTTGTTACGCGTGTAAAAGACCGTGACACAATTTTTCTTAAGACCCCCTAAATTTGAACAATTTCTTGGTTGCAAGAAAAATAAAATTAGTTTCTTAAAATCGTCTTTAGAAAGGAAAACTAACGAATTATTTTTTCGTCACAAATACTTTACTTTTTCACTTTACTTTCACTTTTTTATTTTCCATAAATGGGAACAACCAGTCCGATCGATGATTGGTCTATTCTACTGAAACTTTAATTAAACTTTTACGCCCTTATTCGCACGATACTTGCCACAATTTCCACGCGTTCGTGCGAGCAGATTTTGCCGTAGTTTCCTATCGCTCGATATAGTAGACTGTTGGTCTGTCAATCGTTGACGAACGTTGTCTGGTTATCGGTTAGAAATTTTATCGCGGTCGTAAAACTGACGCTTGTCAAACGATACGACAGAATTCCTCGATACATCGAGGCCACATACCGATTTCGTATCGAGACATCAATAATCACCGAGTCGAGATCGGTAAACATCATTTTCGCCGGACATCCAATTCGTACTTCGACGATCATCTCGGTGATTCGGTTTTCATATTTACACGCAAGTATCCGGTAGAAATCATTGTCGATCGTACGTGCACTGGTCTCAACTATCGCGTATTCGCGTGTTCGTACGTCGTTCGGTGTTATTAACCCCTTATCGTACGATAACGAGTCTGATATTGTCAATACGACAAACGTTCCAGCGGATGATATTTGCTCGTTTAGGCAATTTCTTTCGATTGCCAAAGGTATGATTTAATATGTTTAGACATATTAACCCCTTGTCGTACAATGACGAGTCTGACTCGTTACAAATTCTTGACGTCAAGGCTTCACAATTATGAAGCTACACACTGGTCATCGATTCTTATACATTAAAATCAACGCATTTTTACATATACGAGATATTCATGAAACAAACCTATTCTTTTTCATGGTCATTTCTTCTTCGACGAAGTATTCAAAATTAAATCGTACGTCAAGGGGTTCATAGAAATCTTCTGGTCTCATTGACAGAGGGTAAGTCAGTGTATTTTACAACATTAAATTCGTCGTATACCTCGATAAGTAATTACTGTCAAATTTCTCGGGTATTTATTACGTTTCTTGCGCGCTACCGGCGCACGAAATATCGCGCCAGAGAGCCCAGTTAACGAATTGCGAATAGAATCCGTTAACTCCCCTCAGCACGATAACTCGTTTAACGATATAAACCTCGAAACCGGGAGGTAGCCTGTTTGTAGTGTAATTCAATTTTTCAGCGAGCCAGTCACGCATATCGACGTCCATGATAACGCAAACGTGCACCGTTGATACATTTCGCGATTGAAAATCTCCACGAACGAATTAATTTGCAATATTATCTGCAGAATTTATTGCCACTTCGCGACGCTTGATTTCCAATTAATTTTTGTTTACTGTTCGGACGAACGAAAGGTTTCCGTTTACACAGGGTAAGTCGCGAATCGACGCCACGACGTAAAAAAACCGAGAAAAAATAATATCCATTAAATAATTATATTTTCATCGGAATGTTAGAAGAAAGTAGATGTAAAGTTGGAAAATCTCGTTTCGAGTTGGAACGAGACACGATGCTTGCATTTACTTGCAACATTCACGATCCGCGGTAATTAGTAGTTGTTCGAGTCGTAAAAACTTGTAAACCGTGGCACGTAGTGCTACGTTAAGTGGTTATTTCAATTTTGCAAAACTCTAACAGGTATTGCGTTGCCTAGATCTTTCAACTCGTATGACCTGGAACACAAATACCAGGGTAACGGTTTCCACCTATCATAAAGCGAGCCGGGTGGTACTACGTCGTCGGTTTGGAAGCCGCGAGAACCGGCACTAAGAAGATATACGAACGCATATCCGAGGAGGAAGGTCGTTGCAGTCGTCAAGTTTAATTTCACTGCAGGCTTAGTTTTACTGGGGACGCGATAAAAGCTCCCAGCTAGCCAATAAACCAGCGGGAAGAATGATCGTCTAGCGTTGCTGGCTGCACAATTTCACCAAGGATTCTCTCCGTTGGATCTTGGGCTTTGGATCCATCTTCGATGCGCATAATATCGCGATATTACGACTACGGGGGTAGTCTTGCTTTCATGAAGTTCACCGCGAAACGTTGCGTCTTCGATGAGTCCGTCCAGCTAGATTCACTGTTTATTTATCGCGCGTCTATCGAGGTGGGATTATCAATATCGCAAATAGACCGCGCGTGGCAGACTTAATTTAATCCCGAACGCGTATCATGTTTGATAGCACGCGTTATTGACTCTTCGTGGAATATTTGATTATCTATAGCGATTGGCAAGTTTATAGCAATCAGGGTCGTTTATTTTATCGAAGAATTTAGTGATAGTATTATTTACGTTGGTATTAGTCCATATTCGAGGTTCTTTTAAGTTGAAAAATTCACGAAATTTTGTTCGATAGATCGCAATATCCGTTTGCCAAAAGTATGTCTCGCTATGGAATCTCATTTTTCGAGACTACGTCTTTCGGGATGCTAATTGGTTTACCGGGCAAAGTGAAGCGAGTCTAGTTTCGGCCAAAGTTTGGACAGACACGCCGCCTAACTGAGTTACCGATGCGGCCGACGGTCTGAGAAAATTTCGACAGAAACCGCGCAATTGGGCTTTTCTCAAGGCCTCTTGTTGTTCGAGGGCACTTTGTTAGGCGGCTACAGTCCCGGTGCACGGAGAGTATACGTAAATGTATTGTTCCATAATTTTGCCGCTTTGATGTTCCGCTCTCCAACGAAAATGTATATTATGCAGGCGCGGCTCGTTGTGGAACCCACGAGCATGCGATTTGCTGGCCAAAAGAGAGCAGGAATGATGTAATAAGTTTTATCTGTACGACACTTCGTTTGCGAAAGACTCGAGTTCAAATATGCGTTGGCGCGTTCAATGGCAACGCGTTAGCGCGCACACGATTTCAAAGCGGCTTCTCTGCGGAACGAGGATTCGGATGAATAAATTTTATTCCATACTGTCGACTATTTTTACCACCATTACACCACGAGAAACTTTCTAGACGTTGCATCCATTAACCAATTTTATTTCTTTGTATTTGTGGTTTATTCGGTCCTTCCATATCAAGTTCCCTTCAGAAATAAAAATATACATCCAATTTAGCACTACGAAGACTAGATCGTTACGGGTATATTTTCTCGTTAGTCAAGGTATCTAACTTTTGAGAATTCGTATTGCAATCGTCACGGGGCACGTTCCTATTAAATAAATAGTTCTGCAACGCTGGATGGTGAAATAGACTCCGTTGATTAACAGTTGCGTTGCGTTGAAGAAATTTTGGGGATTTGTTCGGGGTTCCGCGACAGAAACATCAGTAATCATATAAGTATACACTTAACTAGAATTTAGGGTACCGTTGGATCCCAGTAAGGAACAAAATTTAAGGAAGTTACAGGGAAAGAGACAAAAACAAAAAATTTTCTCTTAATCTAGACGAATATAGCTAGAAAAATACGTAGGAGATCTTCGATAAGTTAATTTTTGTGTGATTGGCGAGCATTTGAAGTAGAAAGTTCAATTTTGTACAAAACATGGGAATATCCAACATGCACCTGTTTTTACGTTAAAGATACATCTATGGTAGCGGATGACACGTAGCTGTGCGCATGACCAAAATAGCAACTGAGGGGTCGGTCGAGCGCTTGTGAGAGCGCAACCCCTCTGGTGGCGAGCATGTGAGGCGACGCCGCTGTCAAATGTCATGAAAATATTTTTGCCGTGGCACGTGCCTCGTCGAGCACTTCTCGATGAAGTTTACTCGGCGGCATACTTTTTTCCTCCGAACCATTTAATTAAAAAGCTGAACGGAGGGTATGCAATAATTTCATTATAACTCGTTTCATCTACGGGAGCCTGGTCGTCGCGAAACCAACAGAACGATTCGTATAACCGAGTTTCGCGAGCCTTTTTTACCTTCGCTTTGATTTTTTTCATTATACGAGCCGTTCGTTGGGGAAATCGTAAAATTTCTGCATTTTTTAAATGTTGTTTCGTTTTCCAATACTTTCGATCGTAAAAAAAACGAATCGTGAAATTCAGAAACTACGCCGTTCGCCTAATTTTTGCCCTTGCTTGACCGGGATACAATTATAATGGTTGGTAAAAATATATGTGGAACGGTTGGCGATTTTGCGGTGCCATCCTCGCGCAA